TCATGGTATAACTCATAATTGATTCATCTATCATCTCTTTGTGTTTATAAGTCGTATATAATTAAGATTGAAAAGACAGTCGAATCGGTGATTCTATTCTAAGCCCACATCCAAACAAGGAAAAGGATTTAAAGCGAAATTACCAACCCTAAGTCCGTAGGATCTTGATTATATAGGGCTCCAATACTTGCGGCCAGGCGTGAGTGCTTATGGTCCATTTGTTCCTCTTGTTCCTTTATGAAACTAGATCCTAATGTGCATGTTTCAGCGGACCTTCATTACTCCGCCTATCACTTCGACCGATCAGGATCGTGCGGTTTTAGGTTTATTTACTTATGTTCTTCTAAATGTTAGCATATTCACTCGATGAATTAGGGCAGCTATGTTTTGAAGTTCATGGTTTTGATTTCTGAGCTTGGATTTGACTTGTTGTAAGCGTGGTATTTCTAGATGATCTGTTGGGGGATACTACGGGAAGGTTGTAAAGATTCCTCATATGAGTACTTCGGGGTTTTGAAACTAGAAACCAATTGGGGTTTTGTGTCGGGTTTGTCATTATGAATCGATCGTGTCTCAATAGTCGATGTTTAAAGTGACAGGGTCTTTTATAACACATGGAACTGGTATGGGTAGGGCCACACCAATCCACGTCGAATCCTGATGTCGGTACTTCTCATTGTAAGCCGCTTGTTAGTGGGATAGTGAAATATACATATGTGTTTTTAGTGCTTTTTAGTCTATCTCTATTATTACTGCTATGAAGGTTTTGTTGAATGATTGGGGGTGTTTGTTCGAGTAGATTTCTAACTTGTGACTCAAGGAACTCCCCTGCGTCCCTACTATCAATTGGAATGTATGCAAATAAGTTATCGAGGAGAAACGTACCCAGAATAGTCGTGGGGTCTGCAATAGCCTCCCTTGGCCCATTGCGAATACTCGGCCTCCTTCGCCAGCATTCATGACGTTTGACTCCAGGCAGTCCCTTCGGAAGTGTCTTGTTACTCTGCACTCATAACACGCACGGTCTACTCCTACATTTTTGGCTGGAGCAGTTGGTTGGGCTAGTTCTCTACAGTAGCGTACGGTGTGTCCCTTTCTATTGCACCTAACGCAATGCATTTCACGGCAGGATCCGTGATGATGAAAGTTGCATCGGTTGCACATAGGTTGGTTGCCGTTGTACGACCTTTTGGGTGTAGGAGTATGGTTTGTTGATTGCTTTTTGGCGTTTCCTTGAGTTGATTTGCCTCCCTTCTTGCTCCAGGGTTGTCGTTTCATGTTCTTGTGTTCGCACCTTGCGGTATTCTTGTAGGTAGCTACTGGTAGGTGGCTTCGATTGTTTCTTTGATTAGAATTTTTGATATCGTTTCCTTCCCTGCTTGAGTTGACAGAGTTATTGTATGCTATAATGGCTGCCACTGTGGCTATAACTATAGCTTGCAAAGTGGCGGTGTCCAATTGTAGGAATGGGGTTGCGTTGGTAAGTTGGTTATTTCCAGTCCTTGCTGCGCCGCTAACGTTTGCTTAAGACAGTGTTAGGCGTGTCAAACCCAACAAATAAAGGGGTACGATATACTCCAAAATAATCCCACTATATTGCACTAAAAGGTAGTAAAAGGCAAGCAGGGTCGATCCACAGAGACACAGGACAATTGGTCTATACCTATTTGCACAAGGTACTATGGTCACCAATAGTAAAGAGAGGGGGGGTTTAGAATGTAATGATTAAACAAATAATTAAAAACATAAGCAATCAATTAAATGCGTGAATTAAATTCAGAATTTGTGAGGACTCCAACCCCATGTATGACAATTTAGCAATGTGACTCCAAGATGACACAATATTCGTTCAATTCTATTAAGTTGGTACTTGAAAGTGCTAATAAGCTCTAACACTTCCATTCACCATATTAATTAACCAAAACAAGCTCTTTGATTAACCCTAACCTTATTAACCTAATCTAAACAAGCTCTTAGGATTAGATTATAAGATTGCATGAAGCTTTATGTGAATGTTCCCAACAACACCCAATACCCCTCATAAGCTCGGGAGTGTAAAAGTGTATGAATAAGATTTACACCAAATTCATTCAATAGAGATTAATTTAATGTTTGTTACTTGTTCAATTTCACAAAACAATTACGGATTTTGTAAAAGAGATAACTTGAATGACCTAACCCTAATTCAAATGGCCAATAAGAATCATAATTAGAATCAAACATTCGATTGAAGCAAAATCAAATTCATTAAATAGAAATTAAGAACAAATATCATGTCATATGAATGAAGTCACTACCAAGAAGTCAAAACATGAAATTGGAGAAATTAGGGTTCTAGCCACACATGGCTAGAACAAGATCACAAGTCTAAAAGATGAAATTAAGTGTAATTACAACTTACAAAAACAAGAATTAATGTTTCCAAATGGTTAATGGACAAACCCTTGCAAAAAGCTTCGAATTCCCTTCTCCAATGGTGCTCTGGTATGTTCTTCTTCTGTCCAAATGACCCTCAACCCGTAATATGAAAGATAGGAAAAACTGCCAAAAGTTGGTTTTTGGGTCGAACACGGCCCGTGTTAAAATAGGCTAAACTGACACGGGTCGTGTTCAGCAACACGCCCCGTTTATTTGCACTAAACTGACACGGGTCGTGTTCAGCATGGTCAACAGCTCCCATTTTGGTCAAACATGCCCCGTGCCCACTTTTCAGTGTAAATTCAACACGCCCCGTGTACCTCTCTGACTCCAAATCCAAACTTGATTTTTCCAACTTTTTCGTTCTTCGCCCGATCGTCCCGAAATCTCCACCAATGCTTCCCGACACTTCCCAAAGCGCGTTCCAACCTCCGGTTTACCTGAAAAAGATATAAAAGTGTGCAAATAAGGTTGTTCTAGAGACTAAAATGAATATGATAAAATGCAAGGAAAAGGAAGAACAATTGTGCTAATTATATGCATAAAATGGGACTAAAAGGTGTGCAAAAAGGTGCACAAGTAGCACCTAACAAATCTCCCCAAGCTTAGACCTTTCTTGTCCTCAAGAAAGAACAAGAACCGGACAACAGGACGATTTCTAGATGGCAGAAAGAAAAACTTAGAACGAAAAGGGGATGAAGGATCCTAAAGGTTAAGAATGAATGCATGCAATGTAATGCCATGAAATATGTACAAAATGCACCTGAGAAACAAAATGAAGCAAAAGAAAAGAAGATTAAGAACAAACACAAAATATGTACTTTTGTAACTAAATAAAGGTACGATCAGACTTTACATCAATAGGGCTTCGATCATTGATACCTTGGCAACCATCCTGTTTCCTTCCACATATCACAGACTCTCAATGTGAGGAAGACCCGAAACGGTGTAACCCAATAATCCAACCAAAGTTTTATTTAATCTTTATACCTTACTAAGCTTTATGGGCGAAAATAACATAGTCCGGATTTCATGTCCTTAAGACTAGATGGCCAAGAATCAGAATCGACGCCTCCTTAAGAACCCGTCACGGCGAATCAGCTTTCGCTGAAACAGTGAGCCCACCCGAAGGGGCTAGCTCCTATGCTTTCACTTTTTCGAGAGCCACAAGTATCATATCACACAGTTCTTCATTCGCCATATTTGACTTGAGTTGGCTTTTGATTTGATTGAACTTTGATTTGTACTTCGTTTTGAATTTGGATTCTTCAATCTTCATCTTTGGAATTTCTTTAGATTTCTTCGTTTTGGCATTTGAAATTCTGATTAGGGTACTGGATATGACAGTTGTACCTTCCTTCATTCTTGACTGTGTGGGTCTGATACATAAGCTCTCTGTTACCGCGGGGGTAACGCGTGTCAACAAATAGGTCCGTGTTTGTGGGTTCAGAGTTGCCGATAAAGATTCTTTTTAAACATTCAAAAGCAAATCATCCTAAAGCTGTTATTACCGCCCAAAAAACGTTTCAATATAATTTTTTTTTATTATCTGAGGGTAGGGTCTCGAATTACGGTATTTGGGTCCCCTAGTTATGACAGCTGATTCTATGCTTCCGGTAACAATCCGGTTGCTTCGGTATTTTTCATTTCATGGAGCAATTGTATGTAAAGAGTGTCATCATCTCGTACACTTTTTTTTTTTGAATGAAATTTGAAAATAAGAAAATTTGAAAATAAGAAAATGCATGCATGAGAATGATGAACCTAAAATACAAGTCTACCCCTCCCCAAGCTTAAAGATAAGCATCGTCCCCGATGCTGGGAGGGTGGAACAACCTAAAACGGAGGTGGAGGAGGAGGATAGTAGCTGGGGTTTCGGGTCCAAGCCCAGAAGTCCTCCTCATGTTTGCGTTGACGCTCTTGATCCCGAGCGTACTGGGTGGTGAAGGTGGAAAAATTCTGGGTCAGGCTGGTAATATCCTGCTGATAGGTGTCGAGGCGGGTATGGATTGATTGGAATTCGTCCATATATTGTTGATGATAAGGCGGGGGTGCAGCAAAATGGGATGAGCTGCCACCACCGGTGGGAGAAGCATGGTGAGGCTCCTCCTCTTCTTCATCATCATCACCATCTTCCTCGTTTTCTTCGCTTTGCTCATCGACCTCGGTGTAATAAGAGTGGGGGAAGATGTATGGAATGATTTCCAATCAGTCATATGAATGGGATTTCGGAAATCAAGAATGCCTTTATTTTCTGGTGTGATGAGGAGCTTGGGATCATGATTTTGACCCACGGTCCAATGGTGTGTACCATCGCCTGCCGAGCGGAAGAGTCGCATGGACTCAAGGACAGTAGTGGTGAGATAAGGCTCACCCGACAGTGGCTGGTGGGGATCGGGGTCTGGGGCTCGGATGTGGGCGCTCTTGGCGAGCATGCTGACAATACCCCCGCAAACAATCTTTCCCGATCGGGATGCGCTAAGGCGGATGAGCTTGTGGCACAGAAACCGACCATAATGAGGAATGAGGTTATTCTCGGGATGGGTCATTGCATAAAGGATTTTAAGTTCCAGCGCGCTAATGGTGCTTCGCTCCTCTCTAGGGGCGACGAGCGAAGCAATGATTCTGTGAGCTACCTTAATCACAGGATGGATAAGTGATGAGGCTTTAGCAGCGCTAGAGACATATGGATGTAATTGGGTGAGCTGGGTCCACCAAGTCATGTATAGTATCCTTGGATTGGATCAGTGGGGCCAAATGTGTTTTCCGTTGGGGCCCCCACAATGGCATTGATTTGATCCAAGGAGATCTCATAGTCTTGATTCATTAGACGGAAGTAGAGGATCCCATGATCTAAATAAACTGAGGATAGAAACTAGCTGTTGGGACTTTATAGCTCAATTCATGGACCCTCAACAAGCCGTGCCACCCTATGTTGCGAAACAGGGTTTTGACTTGATTGTAAACATGCAACTCTTTCAAAGTTGGAACATGCGCGAATTTTTGGATGGCATGACCTCGTTTAAGGAATGACTCAAGTTTGCCCTGTTGAACTGGGCCAAGACATACGACACCAAAATGAGACGGGTCGGCTGGGGGTGTTGGGGACCTAGATGGAGGTGAGGGAGATCTGGATGGATTGAAAATATAATGCTACAATTGGTAACCAAAATCAAACAAATTTCAATGTAACATGTTTTAAAAAGGTTTGATTTAAAAAAAAAAAAAAAAAAAAAAAAAAAAAAAAAAAAGGTTAGATTCTCAAAGTGCAACAAGTAAAATGCCATATATGATAAGATGTTCGAAAAGCACCATCTTAAAAAGAATATATATATATATATATATATATATATATATAATGCTATGCGACAAGATTTTCAAAGTAGAGTGTTTTAATGAACAATTTTGATAGTACATCTTAGAAAGAAAGATTTTGAAAGTATAATGCTATAAATGAGACCATAATGCCATAATTGGTTAAGACAATGTCTTAAGGGACAAAATTGGATGTTCAAAGTACAATGTCTTAATAGAAAAACTAACACAAAAGTTGTATTGTCTTTATAGTTAGAAGATATGAGGCTATATTTGAAGAATATTACTAGAATTTGTTAGTTTTTAAAGCTACAATGTCTTTATAGAAAACAATAATTAGAAGAATATTACCAAAATCAAACTTGTTCAGATTTTAAAGAGTATTAAGTTTTAACAAGTTAGATTTTCAAAGTATGTCTCTATAACACAAAGTACAATGCTAAAATTATAATGTTGGATTTCAAAAATATAACGCTATAATTATTAGTATAGTTTCATAGATGTTTAGATTATCAAATTACAATAAATTAATAGAAAAAAAAATTAAATCAATGTATTGATAAAGATTTGAACTGTAATACTGTATTTGATATCCAAAATCAAAAAAAGTTTAGATAGCCAAAGTACAATGTCTTGGGGAAAATTCAATGTCTTCAAATGCTAAAAAAAAAAAAAAAAAAAAAAAAAAAAACAGAAGTACAATGTAATTGAAGGTATAATGCCATAATCGGGTAACCAAAATCAAAAGGTTTCAAATTTCAAAGTACAATATCTTAATAGGCTAAATCTTCATGTACTCTTTATAAGGAAAAAGATTTTAAAAAAAGTATAATTTCTTAATAGGTTAATTCTTGAAAACATAACGCTATAGAATATCTTAATAAAACGAAACTACTGAGAGTTTAATGACAGAAATGGAAACAAAATGTCATGAATGTTAAGCCTAATAAGTGTAGTTTAGCTTCTTGCCTTTGCATCTGCATCGTATAATGGTGAGCTTTTTTTTCCAGATTTCTAGGTGCTCTCAACTGCTCCTGTTAAGTTATTGTATCAAATAGCCACAAAAAGAGGATTTGTTAGATGATAATAGCTGAAAAAGGTAGAATATAAATACATAAATGTGGCAGATTTATGTGTTGTTATTAGCCAAATTACAATAAGATTAAAATCGAGTAAGCACTATCACAAACGGAATTACTTTGACCAAATTACTTTGCTCATAACTGCGAATCAATGGAAAAGAAACACAAACACAACAAACTGTGATCTGATAATATTGTTTGTTCATAAAACTGCTGAAGGGATTCTGAAAGACATTCACGAAACCATCGAAACACACAAGAACACTGGCGAATTGATCAACAAAACCATCTAAACACAGCAGACACGCTATATTAGATTTTACAGCAAAACTCCCAATGAAAAGAAAAAGAAGAAAATCCCCAACGAAAGGATCAACAAACCTATAGAAACAGTCTGTAATTTCCTTCCCTTTTGAGATGCAATGAAACTAGTTCAGTTACTTAAACCCAGAAAATCAGTTGTTTACAGATATAGAAACGCCATCGAGATAATGGAGACGAAGACAGGGTAAAACCAGAAAACCTGATGCGAAGAGAAAGAACTAAGAAAACAGCAATTAATCTTCGATTTTTCTCATTCCTACATAAATTTTAAACTCACAGAGGAAATTACAGCATCTTAGTACAGAAACCCCTGAAACTTACAACAATCTTGATGATTCTTGGATTAAAGACATGATGAGTCTCCTGCCAAGGATTGGGACTGGGGGTGTTTGGGTCTCCGGGGACCGGATTTACAGAGATCGGTCTAAGCTTTCCGGCAACCGGCGGAGTTTGGTTCTGTGAGAGCGGACGATTGAGATATATTATGCACACCGACCCAACCCTTTCGACTTTCTAACGGTTAGTTATTTATTTACTTTTATATTTAAAACTTTTCCATAATTAAGACTTCCTATTAAATCATCTATTTATTAATATATAAAACAGCTTAAATCTATCCATTAAAGTTTGATTTCTATTTTTTATAAAATAATATATTTATTTACTAAATACTTACGCTTTTATATAGGAGATGCCAGCACCAATCATAGAACCAAGGCCTCTCTTAGGTCGGACGGAGTGGGTGCGGGAAAGGGATGAGGGAACCTGCACACCACTCTGTAGGTGAGGGAAAGAAATGCGGGAAAAAAGGTGGGGGGAGAGGGTGCCGCACTCTTTCTCCTCACGCTTTTTTTTTTTTTTTTAATATTTATAAAATTATATACTATTATAAAAATATAAAAAAATATATTAAAATTCATGGTTTTTAATTCCCTACAAAATAAGTATAATATATGTATGAAATATATTAAAAAAAAAAGTGGGGGAAGGGCTTCCCACCCATTTCTTAGCTTTTAGGTGAGGGAAAGAGAGGTATGGCCCACCAAAAGTGAGGAAGAGTCCCTCCCACACCCTCTGATCTTAGGCATATACCTCCCGATCACACACCAATTCGTTTATGTATGAAACTCAGGGGTATGCTCTTATTGGCAAAGTAAAGTCGTTGTATCACCTTGGTCACCTACCGACGTTTCTATCCATCCACTATGACAAATGTGCAAAGGTCAAGCATGCATGATGTATGATGGTCATTATCAAATTTGGTTCATCGGTCTTGGCCAAGGAATTTTTGGAGAATATGTAATGTACCAAAATCACAATGTATAAATTTTATTTTTGATTCAACCATAAACATTATTTATCCATTTTAATCATTCAAAAATATATCACAATAAAATAGTTATCAGAATACGATCTCAAAATCACAAAGTGCGGAAACAATGGTGGATACGTTGCGATCATGTCGGGTCCTTCCTTCCTGAACCGGAAGTACCTGAAAACATAAACATAAATTGTAATCATAAAGCTTAAAGAGTTCCCCAAAATACTTTATGTCATACATATCAAACATACAATGGACCATGCCCAAAAACCATCGGGCCCCGCCTGACATCAAGCCCCACTCGGAACAGATCTGTCAGAACATGAGATGGGCCCCGCTCATCAAATTCATCAGGCCCCACCTGGTATTGGGCCCCAGCCGATATTCATATAGACAACTAAACACATGCAAGAATCACTAAGATAAATATCATATAATACACCCATTAGGTCTCGCCTGGCATCAGACCTGAGCCGGTATATATATATCTCATACTACACATGCAAGAGTCACGCAGACAACTAGCATCCTAATCGTAATAAATCATGGGCCGGAATTTTGCCTTCGACCCGCTAAACATTGTGAGGAGACGTACCTCTAACTACTGAAACAACTAAATAAATGCTTGGATTGCTGATCCGAAAAATCCTTGCGCTAAACAATCACATAAAACCCTAATTAATAATTGGGACATAAACTATAACTAGGAATCTCATCCATATGTCCAACTCCCAGGGTAAAATATCATTTTACACTTTCCTTACATAGCCCAACTTATCCAAGCCCAAAAACCAAAATGGCCCAAGGCCCAAAATTGATCTAATGGGCTTCTAAGAGAACGCATGGCGTCCACTTAATGACGTTTGGCGTCCGAACGCCCAACGTTCTAACCCAAACACATGACGTAACCATAGAATCCAAAATCCTTAACAAAGGTCTTAATGGCTTAAGATCTAACGTTCAAACTTCAGATCCAATGTTAAAAGAACATCTAAAGTCATAAAGTTGCAAGCTTTATGACTTTGCATGGCTACAAAGAGCCCAACACCAAAATATAACTTAAATCACACTCTAAAGTTCCAAAACTCTTGCATGGAAGAGTATCAAGGTCCAAGCTTGCATTTTTATGATTTTAAACCATCCAAAATGCTTGAAATGACAGCCTAAACCTCTTGAGCATTCCAAACTCACAAAAGTCAAGTTCTTGGGACCAAAAAGAACATAAAACTACACTTAAGCAAGATATAATAAAGAAGTCATCAAGATCTAAACTTTATACCTCTAAAAGGTACTCCGAGATGCCAAGAGTCCAGATCCAAAGGCTAGAGAGAAACACCAACACTCCAAAGATCTTCCTTCTCCACCAGGAACACAAAAACGATACCAAAATGTTACTCCAAGGCTTTGAAACACTCACATACACTTAGGGTTTCAAAATAAGGTCTATAAGGGACGGAGGTTGTAGATAAGAAACATTATGAGGCTATAATGGCCTTTAAATAGGGTGAAACCCCTGAAAATTAGGGTTTGTCCTCTACGTGTGAACGCCTAGCGTCTACAAACGCCTAACATTCTGTCACACCCCCAAACCGAATTGGCGGAAGCATTCGGGGGTGGAGGACGTCATGTACAGCATCACAACAATTGCATCATAGTAATCAAAGTAAACACAACCATTACA